CTAGATGTGACGTCACAGGTAAAGATGTCATCGGGAGGCACTCACATGTTGTGTGACATCATTGCCTCGGCCGACAAGTCTTTAAAAATATTTTTTTTATCTAGAACTATTTTTTGTTATCACCAAGTTTTGGCCAATAAGCTGCAACTTAACATCTGATAAAATTGTCATAAGAGAGCGCCATCTCCTGCATTATTGTGGGGGTTAAAGTTACATATCATACAGTCCACGTATTATCGATAGTCGGGATTCTATCTTGGGGAAAGGTGAAGGGGCGGATCCAGCTGAGAAGTCTCTGGAACGATCTCGAAGGTTCCAGGAGGGGCGTGGCCAGTGGCGGGGCTTAGACTCCGGTGAGCGAATATAAGCAGGGGGTGCAGGAACTTTAGGGGTCGGTGTTTGAAGATCAAAGAGGAGCTCCCCGTCGCTGCTGCCCCGCCATCTCCACCTGCCACGTGGCGGCTCGACCTCCAGCCGCTTAGCCGCTCCCTAGTGCCACCAGCCAGCGGTGCGTTAGCGAGCGGGGTGAGCGCCACTTGGCACGGGGCAGCGCGGCCACGAGAGCGGGGCGACATCCGCGGGAAGAGACGTTGCTGTCTGAAGATTTAATAAATGATACCTTGAAGTTACTTACCGTGTCGGAGCCACTTATTACAAAATTATGAACAGCTACCCAGATGGGAACCCAGGTTGTGTTTTTACAGATATCGGCCTTTGTGAGCCAGCTGGTTACCTCCATATTCAAACATTGATTAAGACCCCTTGTGCAAGTTCTTCTCATTTTATGTGAAGCAATCTGATGATACAACGGTTGTCCTGCGGAGTTTCTGTCTTCCACCATAGAATTGTGCACTTTTCACCATTTGCTCAGGGCTGCAGTGATAGCTCCTGCTTCATGCTTCCTTGAGAAGAGAGGCACTTGCACGTTTAAGTTCGTTCATTCGTTCGTTCGTTTCAGAATCCGCTTGTCCTGGTGAGGGTCGCGGTGGCAGCATGTTAAGTAGGGCGGTCCAGACCTTCCTTTCCCTGGCGAAAGACTCTAGCTCTTCATGGGGAATTAGCAGGCGTTCTGAGGCAGCCGAGCGACATAGTCCCACCAGCGTGTCCTTGAGTTCTCGGGGGAGTCTACCGGGGGGCATCCTTACCAGGTGCCCGAACCACTTCAAACTGGCTCCTCTCGATCCGGAGGAGCAGCGGCTCGACTCTGTCACTCTCCCGGATTACCGAGCTCCGGTCAATGGGGAGTGAGCCCGGCAACCCTGCGGAGTAACCTCCACAGGGCTGTTATTTGTTTATTATACTCGCCACTGAGGAGTCTTGCATCGGCACAACATATGAGGTCAGCAACAGAGTCAGAGGAGTCAAAGGGTCAGCAAGTGAGAGACGTCCCTGGAGTGCCGGTTCTGCGGTAAAGTGGAGACGGTGGCGCACCAATACGTGGAGTGCAAGAGCCTGGACTTGTTGTTCAAGGTCCTGAGAAACATCCTCCTAAGGTTCAGCCTCCACTTCTCCCCGACGGTCCTCATCTTTGGATTCCCAAAGGGCGACGGACCCCAACATCTTCAGGGGCTGGTCAACGTGCTCGTCGGCTATGTCAAGCTCGCCATATACAGGGCGAGGAAGGTGGCCCTGGAGGGGAAACGTCCGGCCAGCAGCGTGGGCATCTTCCGTGCTCTGGTCGGAGCCAGGGTGTGTGGGCTGGAGTTCCGCCATGCGCGGCTGACCCACGCCGTGCCGGCCTTCAAGGAGCAGTGGGCGATGGAGGAGGCCGTGTGCTCGGTGGCAGATGACGGAGAGCTCTGCATGCAGTTATGAGCTACCCATCGGGGGCCGTCGGACTGCGAGGAGGGCTGCGAGAGAGAGCGAGAGAGTGAGCGAGAGCGAGAGGGGGGGTTACATAAAGCAAAGATGAAAAAAAATACGAAATGATGAACGAAGCAAAGTGCCGACTACACCGAGCATCTTCTTGTTTCCACTGATCGTAAAAAAAGAGAGAGAAGTACAATCCTCCTAGACGCGCAGGAGCAAGCTCTGGCGATACCGATACCGATACCGACTGACGCGGCTGCCTCTCAGTTGGGTGACCTAGTTCAAATCCCTCTAAGTTCAAGTCACAGCAGTACTGTATACAAGAATTACTGTCCACAGACATTGTGATTATTCATATGCCATTGATACTAACAAGAATGTAATTGTATAATGATTGTAATATGGGGGCCGTCCATAAATGACGTCACGCTCCTAGGGGGGGGGGGGTCAGACATTTGTGACGTCACATCAAAATGCGCAACTTTAAATAAATATAAACAACACGTTCTACTTCATTAAATAGACTTTTTAATACATGTTTTCTCCTACAACATCAAAGTGCAACACCACATTAAATACGCACTACAATGACAATAGTTTAAAGCGATTTGAAGCATGTTTTATTCATATTTGAGGGGGGGTCTGACTTTTTGTGACGCCGTGTGACGAAGGGGAGGGGGGTCAAAAATCGTCCAAAATCGCATGACGTCATTTATGGACGGCCCCATGCAATCGCAATGCGTTGCAAGATTGTATTTTCCCCAAGCCACGTGTGTAAAGATATTACGAGTATCTAACTTGAACCTAATGCGAGAAGTTCAAACAATTTGGATTTTCACCCAGAAGTGTTATTCACTTATTTTTGTGATGCATGCAATGAGTCTAGGTATCTTTCCATTTGTAGCGCATTCATACATTACTGTACTGTATTTTTATATGTCAAATTATATTTTATCGTATATAATGTCAATAGAAGTTTTAATCTTCAAAAAGTAGTTGTTTCAGTTCACATTAATTTTTTTGGTTGTTTAAATTTGGGCTGACTTTCACAACTTTTTGTTATTTAAAATTGTTTACATTCACACTGGCAGTTGCAATTCCAGAACGTATGAAAAATGTACCTTCACTCTAATATTTTCCAAATATTCTGATAACCACCAACTTAATTTCTCTCAATAAAATTTGGTTTTTAAAACCGCATTTTCGTTACGCAAATTCTATTCACGTATTTCATCATGTAAATGCGTGCGCTCAATTAATTTTAAGTATGCCAATGTGACTCTTTTGCCAAATTCGAGTTGTCCATAAACTTGGTGGCCATCAAAGTTGTCCTTCAAATGGAGTGCTGGGATACATTAGTCCTGGGTAGCAAGGTGTTAGTGAACCGTAGTACGATTACATCATGGCTAGATATTGCTATTTATTTTGAAATGCATTGAAGTGTTGATTTTGGCTGTTGCAAGACCACACGGTAGCACACTGTTGAAAATTGTGTTGCAGGGAATTTAACATCCAAATTTAGCAATGCTGTGAAGGGATTGTAGATATGGAATAGCTGAGTCAGTGTTGATCCACTGTGCATGCCATGGCTAAAATTTGTTGCAATGGTGGGCCATTCTGTGGCAGTGACATGGTAGGAATCGTCAACAAGCCATGATCTTTCCGCTGCTAGATATAGGCCTCCCAAAGCGGTCACTATCTGTCACAGGTTCATGATGCAACGCTCCATCTTGTTCATGCACACAGAGCTGATTCATAGCTCTGAAGACCATAGCTTGGACTGCCCTGATGTGCATGGTTTCATGTCACCTGCCATCAATTGAGTGCACTACATGTAAAACTTACGGACGATTACCATTTTTTTGCATGTGTGTGCTTTCTTCACAGAAAGTATTATAGCAACGATATTGGAATTACAGGGGGTCTAAAATGATTCATTTTTTTGAAGTGATTGGCAAGCAAGCTATAATCCTGCGATGAGCTATGTTTAATATGAGCCAAAAATGTGTTACCAAAACACATTTTGAAACGTATGACTGAAATTACACATATCGACCTCCTCTTTTTCCTCCACTGATCTTCGGGGTTATAATTGTGGATAATCGGATACATTTGCCATGCGACTCCATTGATTTGTGAAAAATATACAAAGCAGGATGGAAAAACTTGCGGATAATCATGGCTAATAGGAAGAGTAGGGGTGCGGATAATAGGTTTTGCGAACCCTACAGCTCTCATGGAAAATAGCAGCTGTAAGAGGGTTGCGGATTAAAATAAATTATGTAGATCTTTCTACGAATGTCTGAGAGTAGATACGATATACTTTGAGAGACACAAGTTGTAACGATGGGCATCTAATGGAAGAGCAATACGTGTAGTTGACTTAATATATCTTTGTTCATGTGCTTTCTGCTGGTATTACGCACCACTATGCCTAAGCTTTTGTTGAATATGAAAGGACGCTTGAGTCAGTGGAAAATTATATCAGCCTTCCGTGGTCTCACAAAGCAAGGCCTTATTGGTGCAAATACCACGTTGAGTTTCATCAACATTAAGGGGTCTCCTTTATTGCGCCAGCTATTCAGGTCAAATCCATTGCATCTCCAGCTGAAGCCGTCGCTTGCATCATCACCATCGTCGTTATACAACCAAAAACTCAATGCATTTATTGAAAAAAGCCCCTGAACCCATCCCTACCCTACACACACACATGCACGCACTTACACACACACACCACATACATAATCCCCCCTCCACTCCTTACGGGGGGAGGGGGCCATGCTGAACAATCGTTGCACGCGGCCCGCGGAGTGACGTCACTCGACCTCGGGCCAATCGCAGCGCGGCGTGGGCACGGCTTGTGTGGGGCGAGGGGGGGGCTTGTGGCAGGGGGGGGGGGGCTTATGGGGGGGATTTGTGGGTGGGGGGGGAGTTGTGGGGTGGGGTTTGTGGGCGGCGGGGGGGGGGCTTGTGACCAGGGGGGGGGGGGGGGAGTTTGTGGGGGGGGGAATTATGGGGTGGGGCATGTGGGCAGCGGGGTGGGGGCTTGTGACCGGGGGGGGGGAGTTTGTGGGGGAGGTGGGCGGGGCTAGTGGGGGGGTAAGTGGGCGGGGCTAGTGGGGGGGGGGCTTGTGACCAGGGGGGGGGAGTTTGTGGGGGGGGGTAGGTGGGCGGGGCTAGTGGGAGGGGCGTTTCCCGCCAATTTGCCTTTAAAAGGAAGCGGAGCGCTCTGAGTGTCCCGCCAGCCCCCTCGCTCTTCCGCAGCGCAGCAGCAGCCGCAGCAACAACTTCACAAGCCTCTCCCTCAACGCCTCAGGTGAGAGGATGATGATACGCCGTCTGTAGAAACAGAGATTGCTATAATAATAATATTACCGTGATAATAACCGCAGGTTGCAATGGAGACGTGGCACGTCATGTTCGCTCGCTGCGTTTGAATCGATGTACGTGCGCTATGCACGTACGCACACTATGCACGTACGCACACTATGCACGTACGCACACTATGCACGTACGCACACTATGCACGTACGCACACTATGCACGTACGCACACTGCTATTGCACGGAGGCTTATACCGCGGGAGATGTTGTAAGGAGAGTCACAGGAGATGGGTGCATCATACACATACACACATATAAATATGTCTATGTATGCATATATGTCTACATGCATACATGTTAACATGGTCACATACACGCATGTAAATATGTATACATGCAGATATGTATGTATGCATATGTGTGTGCATACATGCAAATATGTATCCGTACGTGCATGTACATTTAAAAAAAGAGCGTATTTATACAAGAGTGTAGTCACTTTGGACTCCTAAATGACAGCTCTGAGTCGTGGGTAAAAATGCTAAACTCATCGTTGACTAAGGTTCATCCATGACTCCTTGTTAAAAAAAGGTGTCAGTTTTGTTGCCAGATAAAAGAGTAAAAAAAACAATTATCATATCTTGCTACTGGCAAATGAGGTACCAATGGTGTAAATGCTTACCCCGAGCTCTCATACTCTGATGGTGCATTGTCTTTGAGTTGTACGCCTTTTGGCGTCATCTGGTCCAACCCATGTGAGACTAGGCTCTAAGGAAAGCTGTCTCGGGTGTGGACCAATCAACTTCAAGGACAGTGCACGTACATTATCAGAGTTGTGTTTTTTGTTTGCATTATGACCGCAGGTATTGTGGTCAATGCAAACATGACTCCTTGTAAAAAAAATTTTTATCATATTTTTCTGGCAAATGAGGTTCCAATGGTAGGTTCATCCACTCTTTATATATAATTCGCTGTGAAATAAATGGTGAGGAGGGGTGGACAGGACATAACATTGGTTAAGTTTGGTTGATTAGTTATTGTTGGGGGGGGGGGGGATATAAAATGAGGTAGGGAATGTTTGATACCAACTCGTGATGCACCTGCCCCCAGCAACTCGGGGTGGAGATGTTGCAGAGGTAGTAAATCAAGTCCGTAAGTAACTTGACACGGTGGTGCATGCTTCGAGAATGTTCTAATTTCTCTGCAAGAACGCCCACACGAGTTGCTTAAGTGTTTCCCGTAATTACAAATGGTGCGTTTGAGGCCAATATCCACCCAGTTTGTGTTAATCTTCAACGCTGTTGGCAGTAGCAGCGGCAATGTTAACTTGAGCACGGCTTTTAAGGCACGAGTAATGTGCTTGAAAGCTGCAGAACTTATTGGTGTTTAAAAAAAAAGTAAGACCCAACATCGATACGTTGATGCTCTTGTCCATTGCATCGCTGTGTATATATGGAACTCGCAATGGCAAGTAGCAAGAATTTTTTCCCGTTAAGAAATAATAAATGAATGGGTGACACACCTTGATTCCAACAAGTGCAAAACCAACACGTTATTAACTGTGTCAGTTAATAATAACTAATGAAAGAGCAATGATGACAGACCAAGCAAGACTTTGCACTGTCCAGGATGTAGACTGAACTTTGAACTGTGTGAGCTAGTTTGTAGCAACGCGTGGCTGATTGGAATGCTAAACACACCCACAGACCATGCCCAGCAATAAGATTATATTATCTCTCTTGTAGTAAACCTTCACCCGAGCACACGGCTAAAAGAAAAAGCCTGCACTGCCGCACTCGCAAGCACAACATTGCCTTTGGCTTCCTACCAAGATTGTGTGGTGTGTGCCGGTCTGCACGTAGTAATAATGGTGTACAGTGCACGAGAAGTGCCCCTTCAGTGCAGTGAATGGTGTCATTGGAGTGACCTTGCGGGTACAACGCATGGCGAGCCGATCCCATTGCACAGTCGAGGGAAGGACGGCTAGCTGGTGGTGTGTAATTCAATACTGCTTTGTCATTCATCCTCTGAGCTCACGCACACACACACGTGTCCGTTTGCGTTTGGGTAATGTATGACTTAGCCCCATGCAAAAATTGCAATGCGGTTTCTTCATATTTTCGTGGTAAACAGGATGGCGTGTTTATGGGTTTTATCCCAAATGCAAAAAAAAAACACAACAGGGATTTTCTTTCCAGCATCTTAATTAGACTCCTGGAAAGGAGTGTTACCTCCCATGTAACCTTTTCCGGAATAAAGGGCATAATTTTAATAACTCGCACCTTTTTCGTGGCATACACGATACAAAAAATGTTCCCGTGTAATTAATACCAGAGTCTGTGTACCAATAAAAGCATTTGGACCACAGTAGGTACTCCTGTAAAATTGTGCGTTTATAATTTGACCACTATAAATATACTGTGTACAGCACTGTAATAATTTTTTTTAGGAAATGGGCGTGCAGTGCCGAGAAATAGGAAGTTAAATGGCGCACTGCAGTTTTTGTGTGCTGCATACAAATGTGCAACATGTTATCCACTGCATGAAGCTTGCTGCTCGCTCAAACAGGTCATCATCACCTGTATTCCAAGTTCACAAATGAAGTGGTTCCCAATTCATCCCAGTTCACGTTCACACTGTATATCGTTCATCACGTGGCATTAGGTTTCGCCGTTCTATTTTAAAACAGTGGAGGGGGTGGGGGGGGCACATTGGAAAGAGCCATCGTGCGGTGAGTGTTGCGAGCCGTGCATGAGGACGTGCGAGCCGGAAGGCACGTACTCGTGACGTGGGCAGTGTGAGTCACGTTCCCCAGTGGAGATTTTGAGCACGAGGGGGTTGGGTTTTTTTGGTGGCTGCTGCTGCTAAAGACAGCTCCCTTGTGCTCCCCGTCCCCCCCTCAGTGCCCCTTAGCCTCAGGATTTTGTGGGTGGGCATGAACTTTGAGAGACTGTCACTTGAGTGGACCTGTCACGACACTTACAGCCGCAATGTGGTCCTTTATGAAAGGCCAGGGCTGGCTCGGTCGTCCCTCTGCGGCCTTGCCTGAGGTGACCTCATTGTAATCATGGTCTCTTATTAACTACTGCACTGTGAAATTGCTTGATTATGCCTTGCGAGCAATTTCCACGTCAACCCGCTGAGCTGTGTCGCCTAGCTGCAGGGAATAGAGTGGATTTATTGATTAATTTAAACATTCACTGGGGGACCTAGATGGGTAAGCAATGGCTCATTTGACCAAAAAACAAGATCTACCATTCGTTTAGAAATGCTAATGCATATGGTGACCGGCAGATAACAAAAATTGCGAATTATAAAAAAAAATCCTTCCCCTAAATATGAACCTGCCAACGATGCAATAATTTATGGGCAGTGAAGTGAAGTACAGTGGCTTCTGCAGTGCCTGATTTAAATATAGGCTACACTTGACCAGAATAAACCATTTGCCCGGACTAATGGCTTTGGTTTTCAGCAAATGAAGAATCTCACAAACCACACGATGTAGAGAATATATGGGAATAGAGTACTACATACTGTATAGTATGGCATTTCCATGCTTTTGTTGCATTAGTTTAATCCCACAATCATTCACACCTTTCGTGCTGCTAAGTGTTTCAAATGCAAGTACATGATAACATTTTATATGAACCGTGATCGTTTGAGTTTCTATTCAAAATAACATTGGCCCCTCTTGCGAGTAATAATCACAGGGTCTGTTATGTCCATATAATTTCACTGTTTGCTTTCAAGTGAGCACAGTTTTATTTGTATTAATACGCTGCTCAAGGATTTCATAATTATCCCAGAGATGAATTGCTACTTATAATATTTGCTGGGTGCTTCTACTGTATATGCAGCACATTTTGAATGGTTTTAGAAAAGAGTACCTTAAATTGGCGTTTTGAGGTCGTATACTTTTAAAGCCAAAAATCGTATTTCTTTGGCACCAGTCTACGTGCAGTTTGCTGTAATCATCAGCCATGGTCACGCTACTGCTGGATGAAGTTCTGCCCAACACTCTGCTACCACCTCACGATCCTGCGATGCAAAACTCTACCTAACCTGTGCACGCGCTGACGTTTTTATGTACTGTAATAAAGAACCGCATTTGGAAAAAAAATGTGTCCTTTGTGTCCGGTAGGGTATACTCCCCGAGCTGGAAACTGGTTGAGCAACATCGATTTCTACGGACGTTTTGTGTGAATAACACTTTTTTTGCAATGTCGTCTCGTTCAAACCGCCGCATGGCAATGTGTAGACTGGAAGCAAAAAAAAGTGTTTTTAGATTTTAATTGCACCATGGACACCATTTGGAACCATTTTATTACTACAATTCTCAAGCATTATTTTACGTATAAAAATATAGATTTAACCTTACCTTACAAGCTCGTCCTCCGTGCGCTTGCAAAGGACAACCCTTTTCTTGTTTGTCGATCAGATTTCAGCTCTCAATTTCAGCTCTCAATTCCAGTTCTCATGTGTCCCGTTCCTGGTAGATGATTTCAACTGCATTGTTTTCGTAGCGATCAATTGTGGAACATGTGTTTTGCTGTTTCTCTGTTGTGTAAGTCTTCTGTCGATGAGCGTTGCACAGTTGTTTTCACCCTACACAGTGACCTGTTTGTGTAAACATCTGTAGATGGGTTCAGATAACCCTGGAATTTGGGTCACATTGATTTTTATGGTTATGGCAAAACAGCATCAGCGCTTCAGCAATGAAAAGGTTTCGAAGGTTTTGTTGATGGTTAATTTAATTGGTCTTGTGTAATGGTCAGTGGGTGAGACAAAATAATGACGTTCTTTTGACATTCAAAGGTTCTAAGTTTACAAATGCCTGTGAACATGTACACAGTCCTTGGTCAATCTACTGCTGAATGAGGGCCACCCCCCTTAAATCCGTGTGCTCGTCATTGCAGGCTGGTGAAGCTATGAATGCCGATGTGTGTCCAACAACAATTTGTGATGAATCTTAACATATTTAGCTTGTATTAAAACAAAAAAATCTTCTTGTCAGACGTATTAGTATTGCAACGTATTGAACGTCACTTAAGTCAACAATCTACGTCCTTATTGCTAATTTCATTAACTTCTCTGTGTGTTGTGCATTTAGTTAAATTGTGGTTAGTTGCAGTGTAAATGCAAATGTTTACAGTTGGACATGCAAATACCCTTTTTGGAATGGGTGCAAAGTTGCATTTTTTACTTGGCATTTTCACTTGGGATTTACTGTCACCTGAACGCTACCTGGTGTAAAAAAAAAAGTTCGACTGACTCTCAGACGGAAACTGTACGCCAGTTGGCACACTCTTCCGATGACCTTTTTTGGTCGGTAAATTTGGCTCGTGGTCCCATTGCAAGGAGACGCAATTCGATCCTGGATTGACCCCAGTAGAATGTGTCTGAAGTTGTGGGGGAGGGGGGTCCGTGTATTTTTAGTTGGGCATCCAGCAAAAGGGGTGGCTGGTAGGTGGGGGTTGCCGGGGATGCTGGGTCGATTCCAAGGTTACAAACGTGACGGTAATTTTTTACATGCAAAGTGTTTCACGTTTCATTTGGCACAGTGGCCTCAGAGTAATGTGCCTCTGCTAATGATCAACAAATAAAGCCATATTCCGCTCTTGCAACGAATGTATGCAAATGCAGACTCGTTTTTGGTGTAGTCCCGTGACCTTGTAAAACCAATCCTGTGCTGTGATGAAGCAGATCGGTCCATTTCTGTCTGGCTTATTGCCTTACCTGTGCCCAGAGTACATTTTGAGCAATCGATCTGCAAAGCAATTGTGCAAATGTTTAAGTGCATTCCAAAGCGACAATTTCATGTTCTCGTTGTTGGCCATTACCTGGGATTTTGAGGTTTTGTTGAAGACGGGGAGTTTTGGCAACAAATAATGAAATAAAGCCCCGTGCATTCTTTGATGGCACACCCTGTAAGAGGAGAACCGGCCATGAAAAGCAACCTGTTCTTTTATAACTTATTTTGTCACGCGAGCACACTGATTCCGTTAATTCACACGTAAGTGTATTTGCATTCATTACTTATTCACTACATTACAGTAATGTTTCTTAGCACGGTTTAATATTAATTTGCCCTGGAGCATTTATCACGCTTACAGACGTTTTTGTTGGGTCCAGCATTTCACTTTACCACCTGGCATGCAAAAGCGAAATGAATTTTTACACCGCATCAGAGGTGATGGGGGGGGGGGGGGTAAACAAAGCGGATCTTATTTTCTTTGATGGTTCTTTGCCAATCCTATAGCACTTGTCCATTAAATAATTCTATAGCGACGAGGAAGTCATTCCACAATGCTGCAACGTTGTGGATAACCTACTGTTTCGGTTAAGAACTGTGTCCCTGAATTATCCTTTGAAAGTCTCCTTAATGGATAAACCTGGCAGGGCTAATGTTCTGCATGTAGTCGGCATTGCAGCTGCTGCTTCTTTCAAATGCACCACTGTGCATTAGAGAGCACTCTGCGGCAGGGGAATACCGCTTGCCGATTTTAACGATGTTAAATCTTGTCCTTCACAGAGCCACCATGTCGATCAGCAAGATCCACGCTCGGGAAATCCTGGACTCCCGTGGGAACCCCACGGTCGAAGTTGACCTCTACACCGGCAAGGGTAAGCGCCATGTTGCTGCGTCTCCCTCGCAGACGTAGCTTGGGGTGGGTGGGTGGAGAGGAGAAGGGGTAGAAGCAGGTGGGGGTTAGTCAGCCTGTGGGTGGAGTTCTATTAGGGAGTGGTAATGCACAAGGGTGAGCACGCTGTGCTACGAACCCGGCGCCTCGAGTTCGATTCCCGCTCACGACCACCCAACAGCAGTGACGATTTTATCCGAATCGGTTCTGGCCCTTGCCTTGGTCGACTGCTTCAAATTCGTACCTGGGGCGATGTGTGAACATTGCTACTGGGGAGACAAAGGTGGCTGAGTGTGATGCTGGCCACCCACCCCCTCGTGCTGTGCCGGCCTTTATGGGTGCTACTTGCAAACAGCACTTGCCACAACATTCTCTAAAGGCTATACGTGGGATCTTTGTCTTTGGAGTTCTTGCCTCCTGCTCCGCCCTCTCCCACCCCCCTTTATCCTCTGTCGTCAATCTGTCTGTCCTGGCACCCTATCGTGTGCATGTGTGCGTGCTGCGGTTTTGTTACCACAGTAATGTTAACGGTATCCATGACCGCAGTTACGCTGCGTTACTGTATGCGGACGTGACCAAAATTGAAAAGGGAGAAAAAAATGCACATGGTCTACCTGTGTATTTATATGCTGCACCATATGTACAGTATGAGTGTTTTATCTTACGCGTGTAAAATTATGATTTTAATACCATGGTTAATATTACAAATAAATAAGACTCCTATACTTTTGAATAAACCCTGTAATGCAGTATACAGTGTCCATGCACACAAGACATTTCCAATGTGCACATGCTGTACATAATACATTAATATGCAGTAATGTATGTTTCTTCGGTGGAACACATTTTGTATGCTTTGTTATCCAGAAAAATAACTCTTCCACATTGGCGCAATGTAAATTATTTCAATTATCAATCCGCAGACAATATAAATATTTGCAGACCAGCTTGGGGCCCATGTGTAATAGAGGACTCTGATAAGAAGTTATATTGTAATTGCAGTCTGTTCTATATAACGCGGTCGTTGCGTTCCTGAAGAACACCGCGTTATGGAAAAATCGCGTTCTAATAAGTAATATATAGGGTAAAGCACAGTCCGCGACAGAACACGTGATGCTTATACAGGCTGAATAGCCTGAGGCATGTGGGAAGCATCCAGCAGTATCCAGCCTCGTGCGATGCGATGCCGAGGCGACTTTACAACCGCTTATTCTTACGCGCGTGACGCAGTTTTCTTCACGCATCCACGTTATAGAAAACGTGTTCCCCGATTATATTAATCGCGTTATATCCAATTTGCGTTTTTGAAAACACGTTTTTATAGAACAAACTATGAGTGTGCTTTCTCTTCTTTGTAACTATTTATTTTAATTTAATTTATTTAAATTAAATTATATTTCTGCATACGTGACTTTACCGAAAAAACCAATGAGTATAATTTCAGCAGTTACAAAAGCTTCAATCCTAAACTATTCAGTAATCTAAATCGCAGTGAGTCATGCCTAGGAACTTTAAGGAAGGGGCATCTCACTCTTTGTCAGTGGATTTTGTGTTTCACGTAGGAAAAACAGCCATTGCGGTTAAACCGTATTAATCACCCCTCCATCTGTGCTGTGGAAAACCCAGTAGATTTCTCATGTATTTCGGCAGAGTTGTTTAAAAAAAAAAAATTAATCCTTGGTAGGCTGTGTCACTCTTTCAACTGTAAATGTAGCATGGACGACATACACTTTTTAAATTACATATTGCTATTGTTCCTAGTCTAATTTGGTATATTCACTTACCCGGTTTAAAGAAAATTTCAAAAATGTCTAAAAACTACTTTTCATGCTCTCTTTGTATCTGCCAAAGAGAAAGTTATTGGCTCGAGTTTAAGTCCCTGCTATCTGATCTTGCATCTTCTCTTCTCCATTCTTAAAATTGCCAAGCAGGGGCTTCCTTTTCCTATCAAATAACCTTTCTTCCAGACGACGAGTCTTTCGCAACTGAAGAGTTGGCAACTCCCCGCAAATTACCCTTTTGGTGATTACCAATCTTATCTATTCTTATACAATTTAAGCCACTGCAAGCAGCTAACCCCCCAACCCCTTGTCATGGAAAGCTGTACGATGATGAGTCGCAAGAACTGGGGTTGAGAGACCCTGCCTTGGAGATTCAGAATGTCAAAACCTTTACCTTTAATCATTCTTGTCATGATATGAAACCCATCAAATAGTAAAACGAAAAACAAATGCATAACTTTCAATAGAGATTTCAGCTGTGTTAGTACCATCCAATTGAGCTGCATTACTGCCTCTGGCATCAGATTGGAATTCAAATGAGAAAAACAAAATTGTTATTAAAAAAGTGTGTAATTTTCTCCATAAAGCGTTGTGCACCCATACCTGGATCTTGGCGTTGAAGTCTCCGATAAATACCCACCTACAAAAACAGTATTACATTCGACCTCCTATCACCAAAACAATCCTCCATAAATCTGTCTGTGGTTTCCATATTAATATGTAATGCAGTGATGGTGGCCAATTTCATATAACTTGCAGACGTCTCTTGCGTTTGCCAAGGAGACTTATTTGTAACACGTGCAGCCCAGCTTTGAAGAATGGGTAAAAGTTTATTGTGCTTGCTATGTTTGTCTTTATGCAGCTTACATTTCATATATGCCATTGAAAGCACATGGCTTCTGGGCTACGCCACGCAAAAGCAAAGCCTGAGCCTTGTGCTGTAATAATGCATGCTGTGGTCTTGAGCTTCAGAGTGAACACCAAGCGAATGAATATTAGCGGCAGTGCTGCCAATCCAATTGAAGTATCTGGGTCACTGGGCTTTGCCTAGGATAGACGGGAGGCTAAAGCTCTGCTCGGGAGATGGATCCTTATTTGAAAGTGCGCTTAACATCAAGCATGGTGTATTGTAATTTTTTTTTGTTAGCATGAATCCAATCAAATAATGCTTAACGTTTCTAGTTTATAAATAAGAGTTATATGATCATGCAAATAATAACACTTATACTAGGTGTTACGGAGTAGAATTAATATAAAAGAACAATTATAGGAATAGTTGGAGCATAAGCAGAATTGGTGCACTTTGTCGAGGGGAGAAAAACATGGACTCAAAAATACCACGATTTTGAGTCCACGTTTTTTAAAAATAACACAATACCACGATGTCTGGCTGTAATAATATTTGGTGGTGTTCTGACACCCACAGTGGGCTGCGCTCCTGCTTGTGAGACTAGGCGAGGTGAGTGACCTTGCCACGCTTTCCTCTTGTCCTGCAGGTCGTTTCCGTGCTGCCGTGCCCAGCGGTGCCTCCACTGGCATCTATGAGGCCCTGGAGCTGCGTGATGGGGACAAGTCCCGCTACCTGGGAAAGGGTGCGTCCTTTGTGTGTGTGTGTGCTTGCAATGGAGTGTGAGTGAGTATGAAGAGGGAAATGGTGGTTAGTGTGCTCTGCTATGTATGTATGTTGAACTTCTTTCACACCACACGTAGACAGCTGTGCTAATTGGTGTTACGAACCTGCCGACCCAACTTCAATTCCCGGCCTCTGGTAATGGTGGCGAGTGATATCAAAATTATTGCTGGGCCTCCCCTAGTTTGACTTGGCCTGCCAGCCATAATGGGTGCTCTCTAACAGCATTTGCTCCAGCAGTCTGTTCAAGGCTATATGGGGTGATCTTTGAGTGTGCGTGATTGTAGCGAGTTATACAGTTGTTGCCATCAGAGTGACCCAGGCTCAATAACACAACAGCCACACAATTTAAACGGTTTGTTATATGCTTCTTTTAATATTGAATATTACCTTTTATCAACGGCACGCATAGCTCTGAAAAAATAGTCCAGTCCGCTTACCCCCCCCCACATGCGGTCTCTTGCCAGATGTACTGGCTTACATTGGCAGTGCTTCTGAGAGCTGCACGGGCATATTTTATGAAGTAGCACATGGTTACTGGATTCTTTAATAAGGACATAAGCCTCATTGACTAACTTGATACGATAAGTAAAAACCCTGCAGAAATCCTGCCAATAGCAATGCAGTCTTGGTCACGTGACTTTGGAAAACCAATTATGAGCTGCAATAAAAAACTGGTATTTTTTTACTCCCTTTTGCTTAACGTTTTTTTAGTGGATTATAAAACTTTGCTTAAAGAGCTCTGGTTGTGTTGCTCAGCTTTTCGGTAAAAAGATATTGAGGTTCATCAACTGTAATAAAAACTGGTGTTGAAAGTAAATTAATATAATTAGTAGTACTGGAAAAATTACAGCATACATATATTTTTTTATGCATATATTACTACGGTATTTTTATTTGCGTAATTTTAGTTTTATGTATCTGGCCTAAATGAGCTAAATTGTATTGCCTAATATCGCTATTAATGAAAAACGAATTGTTAGCATAAACTCTGGAAAGTAAAATGGCGCTTAACTCATGGCCAGTGTCAAAGATATACAAATCTAGAAACGCACACCTCATAGATTAATAAATTGCACCCCTGCTCTTTAAATCCTGGGGAAAATGTGCTTCTTATCTCCAGAAAACGCTATTTTATTCTTTACTAGCGGGAAGTACCCGGCGTTGCCCGGGGGAAAAATATATTTCAAAACTTCTCTAAAACATTACATATACAAGTACTAAGCTATTGTGAAAGCCTGGCGTTCAGTTTGTCTGTCCATTTGTCCATCAACAAAATTATAAGAGGCTTTAAGAAGTCCAAAATGTTATAGAAAGTGGGGGGTAAATAGTTGATCTAAAAGGTTTCCGAAAATTGTCGACCCACCCCCCCCCCCTCAAAAAATATTTTTACCTCCGTATAGGCATATATACCTACACACCCTAATAATTTTATAAGTAAGAATGGTAAATTGAAAATTTCAAAAGTGCTATTTGAGGTTGCCAGTGTTTTTTTTAGCCGCACAGTTTGTGGTTCTGGTGAAGTTAAAATGTGGCCGCCTTAAAGTGCTGGATGGAATTAGGTTTTGCTATTTGTAATGAATTATAAAACAGCTCGTGTGTAGCCTATGCTTGCGTAGCTTGGCAGCTTGAGTAAATATTTAATGTTTATTAGCCCATTATCTATTGGTGGAAAAAGTTTCAGGTTTTAACATTTGCTCTCATCACACAGGGAGTACAGACTGAAATATTAATGTGTTTTTCATTTGCCAATGATCCAGCTGGGAAACACTCTGCTAGTGCTTGACTCACAATTGGAAGGCTTCAGTTTCGGATCCTGATTGGGGATTTCACTTTGTCCATTGGCTCTACTGGGTCGATTAAAATGACCACTATCTGGTGGTTGTTCCCTTAAAATAATGGTCCCAGTCCAAAGGGATGTGGAATTTTCATCGCCGATTTGGAGGCCATCGGAGTTGGATTGGTTCTACCGCAAAAGTTTGCTTTTGAGAATGGAGAAAGTTGACTTGGATATATTATTCCAGGAAATTTGGAAGTAAACACATTTATTGTATTTCCTGTTTTAGGTGTGCTCAAGGCCGTGAACCACATCAACAAGGAGATTGCCCCAGCCCTCATTGCTAAGGTAGGCACTTTATCACAACTGGATTTTAACACTTCTTGCACAATTGAGCATCTGAACTTGCCTTAAGACAAGTGAATGTCAGTGTAATGAATAGTGATAATTCTACTTCAACTTACTTTTTTCCAAGACTAACCATCTGTGTGGTGGAAACTGCTTTTTAAATGGACTAGTATAAATATTAAATATACCGAACTGTCAGTGGTAGTTGGCAGCTTATTTAGACACTCAAAGTTGCTGTAAATAACTCTTGTTTCAAACTTCCGTGTTTGTGTCTTCATTACATAATGTATTTTCTATGCATGATCCCAGTGCTTTGATTTAAAAGGGATTTTTAGAGTGATTTTTATTTTTTACCTTTGTGCAGAACTTCAGTGTGGTCGATCAGGAGAAGATTGACAACTTCATGCTGGAACTGGACGGAACTGAGAACAAGTGTACGTACTGCAAAGTCGCACGTGTCTGTTGTGCTTTCTGACCATGCTCTGGGACTATGTCTCTGCACGTGTGCGTGAATGGTTGGAATGTATAGAGGTGGGCACATTGCAATACAAACCCAGTGATCAGAGTTAATTGTTTGCCAGATAACATTGGTTGAAAAGTCGTGTCCGATAGGCATGTAACAGTGCATTAATTGATTTAAAATAGATTCTAATGCTGGTAATAAATCTGTCGAATTGTGCATGTGTTTATGTGTTGATGAAATTGTTATGTTAATGCTGCGTTTAGCATAATGAAGGAAACTGAGCTATCGAAATTAAGAAATGATAGACAAAAACACTTCAATAACAAACTGCACTTGTGACGGTTCATCATCATTGTTGGCATGTTTTTGAAATGCTTGGTATCTGAACTTCACTTGGGTCACTTGTCTCTAACTTGGCCTTAAATGATTGCCACAGCCAGGTAAAGTGCTGCTGGTGTGAACATCAACACTGGGGAGATGAAGGAGATTGCCATTTATTTGTCACACCACCTCAGTGGCCTGCTTGTGCCATGCTGGTTTTCATGTTGGATTTTTTTTATGGCCAAAATTTGTAAAGACATTGTTTTTCGCAGTGCATTATAAATGATGGCACCAACATTTCCTTCCCGCATACTGATATCAGTTGAACTGTTACCACTTAATAATTGTCAAGACCGTCTCAAAGTCTCATTATGCACGTGGCATGGGTTGCTGCACTTGGTAAACCACTTCTCGATGTAGCGTCTCGCCAAATTCTAAGAAAATATTGGATTTGCGCCTTGCCCCCTGGCACCTCACCTGTTGGTGGGCGGGGGGGGATCTCACGAAATTAAATTCCTATAACGTCTCCAGCCGATTGATGTTAATTGAAGCCGTGTGTTTGGGCCCGGCTAACAGGAGGAATGCGACTACTATTGACATATCTGTCTCTGCGCATGCGTGGTGTGTGCAGCCAAGTTTGGAGCCAACGCCATCCTCGGTGTGTCCCTGGCCGTGTGCAAGGCCGCGGCGGCTGAGAAGGGTGTGCCCCTCTACCGCCACATCGCCGACCTCGCTGGAAATAAGGAAGTCATCCTGCCCGTGCCGGTAGGAGCTCTAGCTCGCTGTGCCTCTGGCTAGGCCATTGGGTGGTCTTCTCTAGCTGGCCCTGGTTTGGCTGAGGTATGCATTGGATAAGTCTGGCTGTGATCTCACTTTGGGGGCAGACTACACGCTGATCTGCATATGTTGTTTTGTGCTCGGAAGTTTGTGTGTATTTGTGTTAGGCTGGCTAGGGTCTGCATAGGTTTGGATATTTTTTGCAGTGTGTATCTTGGGTATGCATTGAGCCTGGCTCTGTTTTTCATCGTCTCTGTCTTAGGAGGTTTGATTGATTGTGTTCAGTAGTGTCTGCTGGTGCTCTGTCTTGGTTTCTCAGTGGGAGACTTTGGGTCTGCATACGCTTAGCTGAGGTCTACACATGCCTGGTGTTAAGATTACTTTCAGTTCTATTCAGCAATTTTTTGTGTCCATGTAGTAACGCCGATGTATGGATACACAACCCCTTACCACATTCCTCCCTGATGCACTGTGCTGGTAACACCCAGGCCTTCAACGTCATCAATGGCGGCTCCCACGCCGGGAACAAGCTGGCCATGCAGGAGTTCATGATCCTGCCGGTCGGCGCCTCCAGCTTCCACGAGGCGTTGCGCATTGGCGCCGAGGTCTACCACAACCTCAAGGGAGTCATCAAGGAGAAGTACGGCAAGGATGCCACCAACGTGGGTGATGAGGGTGGCTTTGCCCCCAACATCCTGGAAAACAAGGAAGGTGAGTGGTCAGTCGGTGAGCCGGTGGCTGGGTGTGGTTGCTTGGAGGAGGGAGGGGGGAGGCATATGTTTGTCTCGGAGCACCGAGACGGCACTGCTGAGATTCTGGGCTGGAATCTTCAGATTTCACAATTATAAATCCACGTGTCTATTCGCTATTTATGCAGGAGAGCTTTCGAAAGTTCTCAGGATTCCATTGCAAGATAATTCTGCATCGGGATGTTTGGCCAATTCCTAAACGAGTGTTTTGCATTGAGTAACCCACTTGCTGTACAGCCTTGCAGGTTGGAATTCTCAATGATAATCTTACAAAATGTGGATAAAAGGCATGTGCCACTTTGCCCAGTACACAAATATTATTTTTTACTTTAAGCAAGTTCCCAGATGTGATTTTTTTTTTATATGAACCTAACAACCCTGTTTCATATTCTGCCTCAAATCAGTTGTTACGCTTGTGTTTCCACATAATGCGTAATTAAAATAAAGGTTTACGGAACTCTAAATCCATGATTACTATCATCATCGCAGGTATATCTAATGAAGGTTGTAGATATATGCAAGTGGAGTGACTGACTCGGAGACACTAAGAGTAGGAGGCATTCTGTTTATTAACAGCCTTAATAGTTCACACTTACTAACTAAGGCTCCCAGTCAGGACAGCTGGCAGACTGCCTGATTGACGACGCCGAGATGGTGGAGACGGCGACAAAGACTCCAGCAGCGCGACGGGATCCCACTCCAAACGACAGCCCCGAGCTCTCGCTCAGGGCCTCCTTTTATGTTCCCAGCGTGGCCTCGCTCCGCCCTGGCCACGCCCCCTCTCTAGAACCTACTAGCGGGTTCCCAGGCTTCCCACCACATGCCCCTTCTCTAACCTGCTGTCAGTCAGAGCTGCTGTACCTGCAGATCCCATTCCCTGCCAGCAACAAGCGCTATGGTGCTAAGTGACCGATTCTATGTCACTACACAAGTATATTTTGCTTCCGGCCAGACAAGTTATGCAACTGCTTTTGGTAGTTATCCTAAGCAGCACACCCTTTTTATAAGTAACTTTACAAGGCGTTGGCTCTGCACTTGTTCTCGGGGGGGGGGGGGGGGGGGGACCTTAAGTGTTTTATTTCAGCTGACATCCGATCAACTACCTTCTGTTCTACAGATGTTTATTTTTGTAAAAAAATGGCAGCCCTTTTATGTTCTGCGATGGCCAACCATAGATATCTCTAAAAAATATATTGGCACAAAATAAACACATTTGTTTATTCTCTGTTGCTTTAAAACACATGGTGTGGTGCCACACTGCAGATAATGTGCCCACAAGTCCACTTGCCACAGTATGATAATTATTAAGGCATCTGGGCGAATGGCATTGCCAGAAATTCCAGCGGCTTTTTGTTTCATAATAATAACATTACAAAAAGAACGAAATAGTACCCACATGCTAAGGAAGCTTAAAGCAGACAGGTGGTCGATAAAGGACCAGTTTTGCCAGTTGCAAGAGTTATGCAAGTAAATATTATTTTTTCCCATGTCTGCACTTTGTAAGATTCCCTCTGTGGCAAAGTCACACTTTGTTTCTATATTTTAATTATCAGCTGTCCCTAGTTCGTTTTTAAATCTTGAGGCAACCAGCTGCTTCACATGGTTGGATGGCACGTGAAAAAATATTTAAAGCAAAATAAGTATACGAATCATGAGTCTGCTTCTCTAATCAGAACACAAGCGATTTGTGTTATGCAAACGAACATTTATAAATGGAAAAATAACAGTGCAGGATGGACATATTTGCACAGTTTTCATAAAAATAATGCATTAATTCCAATTTACACAAATTTTTAGTTGGCACTACTCCTGAGTGGATAGCTGTTTCCATCTGCTCAGGCCATCTCGCCACTTCTCAATGTTTAACATTTTAATAGGATTTACATCGTCGACCAAAGTGCACACCTTTTTAAATCCTTTATATTAAGTTTGCTTGCTTGCTTGCGTGCTTGCGTGCTTGCTTGCTTACGACCGTGTAAATCTTTCGGTCGTTTTTTAACCCACTTCCCGTGATCCAATCGAGCTGACATTTTGCACACAGACTCGTTGTGCGTGACAATTAATTTCCTAAATTTTTTGTTTCCAAATTTTACACTGTTTAGGGGAATTATATATATATATTTACCAATTGCTTAATGCTGGCAGACTATCATCTGACCCATAGGTGGCAGCCATCTCAAGCCAGAGGACGAGAGGACTCTAGCCGCCTGTTTCAAAGACCAATGTGGGCATATAAAGGATTTATAGTGAAAAACTTTGTTTTTACGGGTTAATTTTTTTGAGTTAATGTTCTCAGACCCGTTAACTACATGCACACCACACGTAATTAGATGGCAAAACCCTCTGCTGCCAGTTACGTTAATTTGTTCAGTGTAGTTCGCACACGTTTATTACTGTATTCGCATTTAAGCATTCTGTCCTAGGTGAGTGTAAGTGATTTATATTATAAAATTCGGTGACTGTGTAGTTGCTCAAGTAATTTCAGTTATGTCGGGGAGACCTGTAGAGTTTGTCATGGGTTCCTATAGAAATAAATAACATGTATGTAATTCTATGTCCCTTACCATTCTTCTGGTATCGCCAGTACTTTCTCTAATGCGTGCATAACAACTTATGAGTTTGCATAGACAATTACAATTTTGCAACACTTTGGTGTGTATAACATATTAAAGGTTGGGCAATCACTTATTAGGAGTTGTAAGTTGTCAAATAATTGCTGTACTTTAACAATTTTTTATGACATGGTAAACTTTTTCACATTTTTCAATTGTTTATTATTGAAAGTTAATCATTTCTGAGTTGGTTGAAAAAGAACCTTCAGCCCAGCGTGGTATTGCCCGTTTTATTACTAATTGCCTATTTTCAGTCTCCACAGTTTATAGTACCTGCACCCACACTCAAGCCTTGGGAGCAGGAACGCACTCTGGAAGCCAATGAATGCTCATAAAATGTTAGGGAGCACATTTTCTAAGTAGCCCAGTAGCCTAGGGCGAGAGCTCTATTTATCCCGCGGAAAGCTGTGGCTTAAGACTTTCATTAGATATTTTTATTATTATTTCACCCATCGAAATCGGCACGCAACTGGTTTTTTAATCAAATCCTCGTTTTGCTCCATACAAAAGAGGTGAGCCCTTGTCTGCCGGTTTGTGGCCAATTTGTCCGTTTTGCAATGAACATTTCATCTAACCCTCCGAATCAAACGCCTCAGTCTTGTGGCAAATGAGCAATTTTTGGCCTAATGAGGCTTCCGTTCTTACAAATTCCACCCGTAAAATATATTTGCGTAAAAAAAAAATGTTAATGTGTGCTAGACAGCAGGTGACATTGATATAGTGATGCCAGAGTGGAGCCAAACAGGCGATTGCTGATCATGAATGTATTAATTATCATTCCCATGCCTGCCTCCGCCCCAGAACTCGAATGGGCGCACTAATACATGCTAGAATAAATAACCTTTTTTACTTTATCATTGCAGACACATGTTAGAAGCCAGAAAAAAGTTATTTGAAATCGCAGTAGCTGGTCTTAGACGAACGCCAACGGGCCCTCTTTTATTATTGGGGTTGGTGTTTTTTGCTGTATTTACACAACAGCACTTGTTTTCATAACGATCCGTTGCGTGCAATTGAAATGATTAGCTTTTGAGCAAAAGTGTAGCAAAGGCACCTTGGGAGTGGATGCCATTTTATGTCCAATAGTGCACATTTAAATGCATTATTCATCAGTATAGTCCAGTCTTTCATCACCAGCCATGGTCGGTCATGGCGGATGAAGGCCTCCCCAGGTTTGGCAAGTTATATCTAAAACTCTTTTGCCCCCCCCCCCCCAACCCTTCACTAACCTGCACTGAGTAACGTGGTGAAGTATGGTCAAACTCCTCCACAATTGACACTGCCTGGGGGGAGACCTTCATTCAGCAGTGGATTGACAAATGGCTGTACGTTAAATGTCTTAGCAAGCATATTTCACTGCAGTGTTGCTCATCTACACTGCTTGAACAGATGTCCAAGCCCACTGCTGTATAATATACAGACACACCATTCACATTTGAAATATCTTCATATTTGTGCCAATCCTATTAGCCAGTAGCGCAATGAAAGAAACGATTATCATGCTACGTATGAATCCATCGATGCTCAGAATATTACTTAAATGTTCATATGTCATATTATCAGGTGTTAGGACAGCTGTTGAGAGACGTTTTATGACATAGAAAGGCTTTGCTATACAACCCTTATAAACTGGAAACATTAAGCGGTTTGTCTCTTGCAGCTGTTAAACAGACATGAGCTTGTGACATTAGACATTGTCTTTAGTGCCTCCAAGGGCAAATATATAATTTATCTCTGAAGCTTCATCTTCAAGCTACTTGTTTCGAATGCTCATAATGGCATGACTGTTCACTGAATTTATGTAACATCCAGTAAATAAAGACTCTTCACTCATACGTTTAAAACACTTTGACAAAGGCGCTGTACGTTATTATTTTATTTGTTATCAATCAAATGCTGGATGAAGCTATTCCCACGCCATGTCAGTCATTGGAGTTGTTAGACCACACTACACAGTGGGTTGACGCTTTAAATGGAACATATACTGGAAGCGGCCAATAAAGTAAGTTTCACAATGAAAGACTGGCCATATCACAAGAATGTGGAAAACCCCTTCATTGATTGTCTGGGAGCAGTATAAATTTAATGTCGCCGTGTCTCTTTGCTTTTGCAGGGATACCGTGACTTAAGATGCAGTCTGCATACTATGCTGAACTAACATTATTTTGGTTCATGCAACATTGGTTATATAGTACACATGGAGGTGTTCTAGTAGGCCATTCAGGCGGTAAATGCACGATACAGATTATGTTGCTTTTAGATGTTGCGTGTTCATTTACCCATAGCACTTTAGTTTATAGGGCGTGTATGCGGCGGCGTGTCTGCCTTCTTGTAGAACATTGCCTTTGTGCTTGGCATTCACCCATAGGCAAAGCCTTGCCAGGCTGCAACCCCCGAAGTTTCTTCTCTTGTTTGGGTGGCAGCCAAGGGGCATTTTGCGACTGCCTGCTCTCTTTCGCTTTAGAGGAATTCCTCTTGTGTTTGTATAATGAATAATTCTCCACCGAGCAAAAAGTGCTGCTCTGCTTATGTCAAATTGTCTACCCGCCCTCCAACCGTGTGTGCTGCGCCATATAAAATGGCATGGACACTGGCAGAAGTGGCAAAACAAGCACCGGCATTCGTTCAGTTCACCTTGCCTATGATGGCTCGACATTCCGAAATAATTGTTGGGTGCAGCGGCACACCCAATGGACTTTGCGCATAGGCTGGGTGGCTTGGTTCACTGGTCAGTTGGCTTGAGTGTGAATGCATGTATCTTGTGTGTAGAGCCAGAATCTTAAGTGGTCAAGCCATGGTTGTAAATTAGAATAGAAATATGTTTATCAAGGTAAGTGATTTTATGTTCTCAAAGTCTTCATTGACAACTACGTTAAATACATAAATTACCCGATGTTTCCATTGGTGATTACTGTGGTTTGGACGAGAATCAATTGGAGCGTACGAGAAAATCTTTGCGTCGGTTTAAAGAAGCCCAAGCTTGCCTTTCCAGAAAAAAACGGCTCTTAAGGGCAGATAAGATTAAGTCATTGCAAGAGATTGAGAGGATCAATTATAAAAACCCGTTTTTCCCTTCTGAGAAGAAAATCTCATTGGGAGACTATTGAATAACACTTTCTTCTGCAATTGCCATTGGCTTAAATACCATTTTCATAAGTAACTTTTTAAGCAATTATCTGAAAACTTAAGTCCCTTTTTTGTGTCTGTCTTGGCCAAACAATGTGCAAGTCATTGGCAGGGCATACCCATGCCCCACAATGCACTGCACATCCCAGAGTGCATGGTCCTCCATTGACCGTAACAGAACCACAATGGGGGAAAATGTCCTCTGGTCCCAGTAATGAATGTAATAATGATCACATCAGTCATCAATTGTCCCGTAATCATGATGACATGCAGTGGTGGCCATTACGATGTTGGCCATACTGCCAAATTCTGCAGGCAACGTGAGAATTTGTATTCAAAGTTGCTTTTGCCAAGTGTTGCATTATGAAATTGGATGCAGCTTTATAAACGCATTCAAGCAATTTCAGTTAGATTGCAATTCTGGTTTTGTAAGTAGAAAAGGAAGGTTTGTACATAAAAGTAGAGTTATCGTTGGAGACTGCAAGCTCCTTTTCCAGTGACTGTAACCATTTATGTTTTGGTCCAGATGTGCATTGCTGCTATTAAACCAATTTTATGGTTTGCCACTTTCACTAATTTTTCCAAATTAGTTTGCCTTTTTTTTTAAATAGACAAGAGAGGTACGATACTGCACTTTGCACTTCGGTCTAAGATTTCCCCGGTGCGTCAAGGTAACTGAAAACGGTCGTGTCTGTGCACGTCTGTCTACACGCCCTCGAGCTTTTGTAGCGCAGTGGAGGTTTGCGGTCAAATTGGTAGCAACGGAGGAGGGTTGTCGAGCACATGTCTTGGGCCCAGCCTAATCTTCCCGAGCCCCTCCTTTCGAAACGCGAGAATGTGATCCGGCGTTAATTAACAGGTGCGAGGTCACGTCGCGTTCACGTTGCTAGATTGTGTTCCATTAAACCTTTTCACTTTTTAAGCTGCTTTATAATTAAATAGCTGTGCTTGTGCGCTTGGAACAAAACCGGCGACTTTGTCCATTTAAAATAAATAAATACTAGAGTACAGTACATTGTAAATACGTATCTGGTGATGGCCATTGTGGTGACACTCCCAATAGACGCTGTACATCCTGAAGAGTAGTTGCTCAAACTTTCTACAACAATATTCTTTTTGAGGGAAAAAAAAAAATCTGACAATACTACAGATAACATTGGCAGTATATTGTCTGCGTTTGCTGTATCCAAGCTCAAATGGATCCTGGGCAATGTTATTCTCCATTGGTTTTTCTGAGCCACTGATTGATACTCCATTTTGCTATCCTTTGCAATTCACATAAATGTGTGGATATGTGAATTAACACTCGAGGCTGTCCAAATGGATAGATTATTATATTATTCCTACTGTCATCAAAAATACACGAGGTGGTTATTTCCACATTACTACTATAATATCCATCATTTATCACTGTCTGAGCTCGCATTTGTGTTTTTAGTTTGTTTACCTTCCCCCACCTCTGGTTAGCACAGTTGATATGAAAGAAGTTCTGCATACATCCATTGATAGACCTGATGTACATTCTAATGGGGGAGTCTTAAGCACGGCTGTTGTAACCGTCACGTTTCCTCTTTTGTTCCCCCACCTCTCCGTTTCATAACCAGCCTTGGAGCTGCTCAAGACCGCCATCAACAAGGCGGGCTACTCAGACAAGATCGTCATCGGCATGGACGTGGCAGCCTCCGAGTTCTACCGCAAGGGCATGTACGACCTGGACTTCAAGTCACCCGACGACCCCAAGCGCTACATCACCCCCGACAAGCTGGCCGAACTGTACCATGGCTTCACCAAGGACTACCCAGGTAGGCAAAGACAAAGATAAAGATCCCCCGTATAGCCTTAACAGACTGTAGGGGCAAGTGCTGTTAGTGAGCACCTATAAAGGCCGGCATACACGCTGTGCCACATGCGTGTGTGTGTACTCGCGCTCGCACGCAATGTGGAGGAGTGATGCAGCTACTTATCAGTGTGAATATCGCGCTGCACCAAGATACCTGGACACCTAGGATCGATGGCTGACCGTGCAGAACATCGTTTGCAAGAAACCTCTGAACTCGTCCTGGGCCCCAACGCAAAGTTGATTACGTTTTTTAAACGAGTACCTGGGGGGATGTTTTAACGTCATGGCTGGGTATACAGAGGTGGCTGGGCTTTGTGCTTGCTGGCTGGCCAACACCACCCTCTAGTGTGTTGTCCTGCCATTTTTATTAGATCCTGTTACATATGATGGCAGAAACCACCCTGACCATTGTCAATTAGTCCTGCCTTCATAATAAAAGTAATACAAATTAATACAGAGGGTTGGTATGGTCTCTCCTCATTATCAAAAGTGGTTAGGCGTACCACTGCCCCCACCACCCACTTATTCACCATGCCGAGTCTAATGGGTGTTTGCTAAGCCGAGCCTTGCTGAGACTAAAGAAATAACTCTTGTCCTCCCGTATGTGTGCAGTGGTGTCCATTGAGGACCCCTTTGACCAGGATGACTGGGAAGCCTGGACCAAGATCACGGCCAACACCAAAATCCAGATCGTTGGCGACGACTTGACCGTCACCAACCCCAAGCGCATCCAGAAGGCTGTGGATGTCAAGGCCTGCAACTGCCTGCTGCTCAAAGTGAACCAGATCGGCTCTGTCACCGAGTCCATCAAGGCGTGAGTGTCCCTCCTTCTCTGTTGTCCTCCTGCGCCCTCTTGTGTACATCATTGTCCGTTGTCATTAATCATTGACATAACTAATCATAAATCGCCGTAGTTATTGTCCATCTTGCCAGCATGGGATGGTTGACAATATTCTCTCTTAAAGAGCTCAACAGAGCTCGCTGTAGTGGAGATCCTTCCGCCAGCAGTGGCGTGAGCTAGCAATTACAAGGCTGCGCCTTTACTGCCACATTTTTCTACTTGTGCAGTCTGCATCGTAGCACAGTGTTGTGTTACATTGTTTAGGAAAATAATTAAGACTGCAGAGTCATGTAGGTGGTCGGTGAATGGCTCTGGATTGACAATGGAGATCTCTGCTTGATCATTTTAAAGGGCCTATCTCTTGCCACTATAGCTGTTCATAGTGTTGTCCCTGTTTTGATTGATTCACAAAGGTCACCGTGTTATTGAGTGAATGGTTATAACTTTTTAAAAGTGCTGTACTTCAGGGCATAATTTAGAAATGCACTTTACAGGAGGACACTTTTGTCCGTGCTGTAAAATTAGGACATGACCTCCTGCGGACCAGACTGGGGATATCGATGATCGAGCTCAATGCTTGTGGAGTCACCTTGCTAAATTTGGAGTCTGTGCAACACCCTCGTATCGGTTTCTCCCATGGGAAGGCTCGTGGTGTGACTGTTGGTGACAAGCCAACTGACACTCTGCCAGCTGTTTTTGCAGTGCTGTTTGGGTAGGGTTGGATAAACAGTGCCGAAACACCCGTATCTGAAGACACAAGTAAATAAACATTGCTTTTAAACACGTTATGATGGGGGCGTGCAAATAAAGAGTATTGCACAAACAATTTTTTTTACCTTTTTGTTTAAGGAACATTTGGCTTTTTAATGGTCACTTTACATGGCAATAACCCCCCAAAAAAGTTGATTTTCCTCAAAGAAGGCGCCATTTTTTTTGCATTTTGCCAAATGTTATCTCTGGTATATTGTGTAATGATGGTGAGATTAGTAATATCAATCACTCGCTGGCAAGGACTATATGCATTGCATTTCTATATACATGCAGTGTGTCCTAACTAGAGGTGGCGGCAGATAGGGTTAAAATAATGTAGTCCTAAGTGTTTGCTGTAAGCAGGAGGGGATTTCGGGATGGGGAGCTGCAGAGGAATCTGAGCATAACCGTCCAATGAGCACGGACAGGAGTATATGATTTGTGCAGCAGCTCACAGTTGCAGTGGCCTTAAAGACACGAAGGCAGTCGCACAAATGTAGCCCCCATATACGCAAAGTACACGGTAGGGTAGAATGATTCGGGCATTCGATGATTAGATGGCATGATGTGAACTCCATTAAATACCGCATATTTAAATTTGATAACATATTTTTTTTCTTAACTATTAAATGCGTGTATCATCATGAGCTGAAATAATGGATGGCAATCGATGCATCGTTGCACCCTCCTCTCCCGGCCACCGCACCTTTTTAACACGGCGCCTATTGTCGTCTCCTGCGTGGATTGTGTTCTCCACGTGACCAACAGCTGCAAGCTGGCCCAGAACAACGGCTGGGGCGTCATGGTGAGCCACCGCTCCGGTGAGACCGAGGACACCTTCATCGCTGACCTCGTCGTTGGGCTGTGCACCGGCCAGGTGCGTTGTCCGAGCAGCGGCGCATCGTCACCTTGTCGCGGTTAAAATTCACGCGCACGTGCGTTCGCAAGGCTACGTGGAGGGCAATGCCGCAAACTCCATGGGTCCAACTGTTGTTCTCTGCTCCCCTGCCTTCGTTAACCCGCACTGACCAGCGTAGTGAAGTGTGGTCAAACAGCTTCCACGACCAACATGGCACATGGCCTTCATTCACCATTGGATTGACAAAGTGCTGCAGATGCATATTTATATATACAGAAATGGTGGGGTTTGTGGTTAGTGTTGGGTTATCATTAGTAGTACTGGCATTGGTTACTATGAGTGTTGGGACCACTGGCGTACCATCGCTGGCACGGTAATGGTACGCTTGTGGCCAACCGTAAAGAGGGACTCGTGCGTGTGTGAATGCACGAGCGTCAGTGGACTAGGAGGCAAATTAATTTTGTAAACCCTGCCCTTTGATTGGCTCTTCTGGGGATGTGTATATTGTGGACGTTGGTGTTAAACCTCGGCTTGCCACGTATTCAGCTTTGGGTGTAACAAGTGTCACTGCATTGTATTATTGGTTTAGCGTTTTTGCTTGATTATTAGATTTTGATATTGTGAACAATATCATTGGTGTAAAATTTGTACTTTAGCATTATTATTAGTTGTTTTATGTTCAAAGTTTAAAAGTTGATGATTCCATTGTATTATGTAGAAGTGGCAAGTAGCCGTGTTGCATCTTTATTGGACAATATAATGTAAAGGTAAGCAGAAGGTCTAAGGTGAATCAATATTTTGTCTTTCTTTTTCAGATCAAGACTGGTGCCCCCTGCAGATCTGAGCGCCTGTCCAAGTACAACCAGATCATGAGGTAAGCCCAAACAAAGTTGCACAGCAGGCGTCCATTCACAAAGATTCTCTGTCTTATAATGAATAACTCTGACGTTCACTCCGCATTGTTGGATGTACATGCATTCATGCGCTTTTTCACCATTGTCACATCTGTGGGATGTTGTAATGTAAATAGCAAAAACAATGGATTTGCAATAGAGAGGTCGCTGGTTCGATCTCCTCCGAACTTGCCAGTTGAAACAAATGGTCTAGCTGTGAAAAAGCGCTTCATAGCTCATCGGATTCCTCCAGTCTAAAAAAATATTCTAAAGTAATCCCTCCCTTGCCTCTGTCCACCCAGCAGTGTAAATGGGTTCACCACAGTCGATCGGCGGCGGGGTAAAGTGTGGGTACTGCCACCTCCAAATCTGCAAGCGTGGAAGAGTAGAGCAAAAATTCCCTTGTGAGGGGCTCTTTAGAGCTGCCCCGAGTGGGAGGCCCTTCCGCCAGCAGTGGCGTGGAGCAAGCACTTACAGGGTTGCACATTTTTAACGCTGCCTTTTTTTTTTACTCCGCAGGATTGAGGAGGAGCTTGGGGACAAGGCCAAGTTTGCTGGCCGCAGCTTCCGCAACCCCCAGATCAAGTAAAGAAAGCAAGGCCATCGTAACCAAGGCTTCATCGGGCGGCCAGTTTGCTTCAAGAAACCTAAGGCTGAATATGGCAGCTACGCTAGCAGAAATACAAAAAGAAAAAACCCTATAGACAAGCCGTGACACACTACGGTTGCTTCAGTAACAGTGCGGTCGGTGTTGTGATGGTTTATGTTGTCATTGTCATCGTGATTTATCTAAAGTGTGTACTTGCTCCAGAGAAAGTACTTTTAGTTGCTGTCTCCTTTTGCCGTTCCTGTCCGTGTGCTGTTACTGCGTGCGCTAAGTCTGCAACCGCACCAGCTGATTTGTAGCTGCATATTCAGCTGTGCAAAATAAAATCATTGAAATGACATTTTTTTCGTGAGATTATTCTTGTGCTTTGTCAAATGTGCTCTCCACCGTCGTGTTGTGAGATGAGCTGTCGCGTTCGGAACGCTCGGAGTACACTTCCGCATCTCCATCTGGTCACATGGCTAAATTCTGAGATGCCCCTTCGCACCTGGGGAGCTGCACTCTTCCACACTCCCAGCTTACAGAGATGTACGTTGCTCGGCCATTGAACCAACATGTCATTTATTTTTCAGGGCTGGAATTTTGTCCATTTGTCAGAAAATCATTGTTTATGGGCAAGGTGGTACCTCCATTTCTGTTCACAATAATACATGCAAATGATGGCCAATGGACGAAACTGGTCACAATGTTAGCCGAAGCAAGGTAAATGTCCCAGACTCGAATCGCCGTGGAGATGGAGCAATGGACATCGGCTTGTGCAGCATCGAGATGGATTCTGACAATACCATAGAAAGATGACAATGGTGTGGGAAGGCCTTCATCTATCGGTGGATAGACCATGGAATATGAATACACAATAGCCACTGACATTTTTTACATGGTTGCAATATATTCACAGCAAATTCCCAATCTTATGGGTATAGTATTCCCCATTGTATAGGTTGAGACCAAGAACTCAGATTTAAGTTGAGTGATGGGAATGGGCCAAAATGTTGTAGTGGGAGTGAAGTTTTTACACCGGAAGGAGTCTAGAATGAATCTTTTTTTTGTAATTTATTTGACTGATAGACCACGAGACAACGGGGAGACCCACAGATACGCATAGAAACCTGCAGATGCTGAGAAACCCACACGCTTAGAGACCCACAAGCAAGCGGAGGCCCATGGACGCTCAAGAGATTCGCGCACAAACCCAGACGTTCGGAGACCCACGGGCATGCACAGAAAGGCAGACGCTCAGACCCACAGACATGCACAGAAAGCCACAGGTGTTCAGAGATGCACAGACAGGCACATAAGCCCATTGAAGCTCAGACACCGGCAGATATACACAAACCCACAGACGCACACAAACCCAGACGCTCAAAGACCTGTACGTGTTTATGTTGAACTTCTTTCGCACCGTACTGTAGCCACCCGTGCGAATACAGCACGTAGCCAATCACAACAATGCAAGGCATTTTTTTGAGCTCGGCAGTTGAAACAATGGGGAAAGTTTCTTTAATCCCCCCCCCCCCCCACACACGGTTCTGTCCACCCAGAAATATAAATGGATTACACCGCAACAGTTGGTTGATCTTGGAGCTCCGCGGTGGCGAGATGTTATATCCCTCGCCTGGTATGCAGGAGGTCGTGGGTTAGATCCCAACCCTGACGCCTGTAAATTTGGAGTTGGCATGTTCTCCCCGTGGTTTCGTGGATTTTTTTCTGGGTCTATCGCTGTGATAGCTATAGACTCAGCACAGCCTGGAAGCGTATTGTTAAGTAACTAGCGGGAAGTACCCGGCGTTGCCTGGGCGAAAAAGACAGACACACATCGACTTATACACATTGACCCACACACATAGAAACACATCGACTTACACGGACACACACACGTATGGTTAAACCCAGGATGGATCGTTAGCAGGCCAGCCTAAATGTTTCTAACCGGCGAAGATGTTCCATTAGGGGGGTGCACTTTTCGCAAGCGTAGAGAAGGGAGGGAATTACCTTGGCCGAAAAGACCTGGAGCTTCATGCCGGGCGAGAGACCAGGTAGCTTCCACACAGCTTAACGCAGCCAATGCCTGATTTGGAGTGAGACTTCTGCTGTTAAACCGGAGCTGGTCATGAGCACACTGGCGAGGTATGGAAATCTCTCCAATCTCTGCACAATTGGCGCATCACCAATTGTGAGTAGTGGGGTGGATTGCCCAATGGTACAAAATACGCAGGCAGTTTTGGTGGGGCTGATGGTAAGGCCCCACCTCTTGGTGGCAAGCTCCAGGTTCAGCAGCAATCACCAGCAGCAATCACCAGAGCATCAGGACACATAACATGGTTGAGCAGGGAGTCATCCCTTGACCGCACCCAGGCATCGATCAGCCTCACATTGTATCTGTACCATATGGTAATTCCTCTGGTACAGCCATTGAAGGCTTCACGAACTACGTGGTCAAAATATATGTTAAACAATGTGGGAGCCAGAGGACATCCCTGTCACACCCCAAGGTGTAGAGGGAATGGCTCTGACTGACGGCCACGTAGTTTGACGTGGGGCCGCTCACCATCATGAAGGTCCTCAAGGATCGTGAGCAAAGGGTGAGGGACTCCGAAAGCATCAAGAACAACCCAGAGGCCAGGCCTACTGATGGTATCCTAGGCCTTGACCAGGTCAATAAAGCACACACATTCACTCACAGGCACACATGGACCAACAGACACGCAGAGAAATGGACTTACACTGACTCACATGGAGCCACGCACACAAAGTCACTAACACACACGCCCATGGACTGGCACACACAGACATATCGACTCGCACACACAAACACATGGACTTACACACACACACACATATGGACTCACACACGCATAGACATCCACTTTAGATACACACACATGGAGTTACACACACATATATCGACGTACACACATACAGCGACTCACACACACACACACATCGACTCACACACAGACATACGTGGGCTCACACACACATTGATGTAAACACACATATGCACTTATACACACATATCGACTAAGACACACACACATGGACTTACACACACATACATAGACTGATACATTGCCCTACACACACATACACATATGGACTGTCACACACAGACATCTACTTTAGATACACACACATGGATTAACACACACATATCGACTCACACACACGCATTGACTTACACACACATCGAGTAACACACACACATGTATGGACTTACACACACACATGTGGACTAACACACACACATAGACTGACACACATACACATCGACGTACACACACACATCGACACACATAGACACACAAACGCACATTGACTTACACACTCAGATGGAGCCATGCACACACATGGACTAACACACACACAGCGACTGATACGCACACAAATGGACTGACACGCACACTTGGACTGACACACACACAAACACTTCGACGTACACACACACATCGGGCGTTGTCCGTTCGAAAAAGACAGAGAAACACATGGACTTAAACACACGCATGGACCTACACGCACACACATATGGACTCAAACACACACACACACATCGACTCACACACACACATGGCACAACTATCAGTATCGCAGTACTACGTATGAGTAAATAGCGTGACGTGAGCAATCGAAACAATAGAAATGCATTGAAGAAATAAGTGTAAATTAAAGAGCAGCAGTGCGTACAGGTAAGTTGAGAAGCAGGCTACAGTCTAGATTATATTGGTAGGAACCTCCTGGTTACACCAGCCCACAGGGGATTATTGTGTCCGTCCGTCCGTCGTGCAGGGAGGGGATGGGTGGGGAGGGAGGGGCTGGGTGGGAGGGGGGGGCTGGGAGGGGAGGGGCTGGGTGGGGAAGGTGGGGCTGAGTGGGGGGTGGGAGGGGTGGGGCTGGTTGGGGAGGGTGGGGAGGAGCTGGGTGGGGCTGAGTGGGGGGTGGGAGGGGTGGAGCTGGGTGGGGAGGGGCTGGTCACCCCGTGGTGCCCTTATAAAACTCAACGTTTAACTTACTCACGCCGGCTTGTGCCCGCCCTCACAGTCGGGCATATTTGCGGAATACACCACGCCGCCGTTGACCCTGGCCATTGACCGAGCAACCCAACGTTCCTACCAGCTCCGAGTGGAGGCCCAGGGCCGATGTAGATAATCGTCAGTGATGGAAATCGAACTCGGGTGGCCGGGTTCATAGAGCGGCGCGTTAATGGCTACGACCGCTCCCCACATTCCCCATCGTACACACACGCACACGTCCACTCACACGTTGGCACACACAGTGTGCAAGCACGTGCCGACTGAATGCACATCACAGCCAGTGTCGGATTAAGCTCGTGCGGGGCCTGTAGCATATGTTATGAAGGGGCCCTAAATATAAAAACATATATTAAACCACAAATTTTCTACTTGCATAGTAAAGTAAATGTATTTTTAAATTTGCTATACAGCCAGATAATACGACAAATCGCTCACCTTAAATACCCAGTCGTTCATAAAAGATGAAGGCGGTATCATCATCATAGGCCTTTGTGTCTCGAGAGACAAATTCTTTTGCGCCTTACGAGGTCAGCTGTAGGTTTTTCAGCGCCTAGAATGACATAGTAGGCCAATCCTTGAGTGACAATCCCTGCCACAACAATTGCAAGTGAATGCGGTGGCAGCTCTAGAGGTGTTTGTTGCTTGTTCTTTACATCTGTAGTAGCTACTTTTGCTGCGAGGATAATCCGGCACTGGCCTGGCCGCTCCGCCACTCGCTGGCTTGGGTGACGATGCCCTCTCTCCATCTTCTTCCTCCGTTCCCGTGGTGTACGAGCACAGCGCCGGGCGGATAAAACGCAGAAAGTCGGCACGGTGGGGGTGCATCTCAGTCGGTTATCTTAGGAAGCCACTGGAGCTATGCACTTTGAAATCTAGAATGAAAGGTATTTCTTTAGAACTACTTTTTGTGTTTAGTTTTTTGTCCTCCCCGCCCGCACCTCCGATGAGTTCAATTGGCTACGTAAGGGATACATGCAAGTGTACCACTGCAGTTGTTGTTGTCAGACACTAACTTCCCACTGATGGGCAGAGGTCTCTCCAACGTTCCTCCATCGCTTCCTTTCCTCGGTCTGAACTCTCTCTCTGTGTTCTGAACTCTTTCTCGTATCTCTTCCACTCTGGCTTCCTCTGCCTCTGTCGCCTGCAAGTTACAATGTTGTATGCCTTCTCGTCAAAGTGAAGTCGTGTACGGAGCAATATCGGGTATGAACGTGGTCATGATGCAGTTTGTGAAAAAAATATTATACGGGGTGCGATACGTAATAGCGTTTTCGCTTAAATTGTGCGTTAACGTTGGTAACAATTTTGCA